AAAGGTTAGGACAGTGAAGTCCTTGAAGGTTTGTTGTTGTTAAGGCAGTTAAGTCCCTAAAGGTTAGGACAATGAAGTCCTTGAAGGTTTGTTGTTGTTAGGGCAGTTAAGTCCCTAAAGGTTAGGACAATGAAGTTCTTGAAGGTTTGTTGTTGTTAGGGCAGTTAAGTCCCTAAAGGTTCGATGTTGTTAGGGCAATTAAGTCCCTAAAGGTTCATTGTTGTTCAAGGTGGTTAAGTCCCTACAGGTTTGCAGCCTTTGAAGGCCTCCCATATGTTACTCATGGAAATTATGTTCTTGAAGTTTTGTTGTTGTTCGCCACTATTGACGGCAATCCAGTCCCTGCAGTTTGTTGTTGTTCGCCACTGGAGGCCCTTCAACTGTTCTTCTAGTTTGTTGTTGTTTGCTACTGCAAGTCATCATCCATTTTTTATGGAAATCTCTCCGTCCATTGTTGTCCAAGTTGAAGTTTCATGGTGCTAGTTCACCCTCGTCCATTGTTGTCTAAGTTGAAGTTTCATGGTGCTAGTTCGCCCTCGTCCATTGCTGTTGAAGTTGAAGTTTCATTGTGCTAGTTCGCTTTTGTCCATTGCTGTCAAATTTGGTTTATTGACATTCTCTACAATTGAGTTTGACTATTCCAAGCTTGGTTCATACAATCTTGTATGATCCAGCTTGAGGGGAGTATTGCAATTTGAGATAATATCTTTAGAATCTTTCTAATTAGAGGAAATAGATATATAATTTGTTATTTTATTTTACTTTCCTAGTTTTCTTATTTTCTGTTTTAGGAGAAGTAGATTATTACAAATAGAGTGTATCCAAATGTATTTTTTATGATTGATAATAATAAATCAGTCTTATTTTTCAACTTCCCTTTTGAATAATAACCCCTTTCCTGGACTTGACTTCAAGTATTGGAGAATTTGGTCAACTACTTGCATGTGTCTCTCTCTTGGATCATGCACAAATTGGCTCACTACACTCACAGCATAAGCAATGTCTGGTCTTGTGTGTGATAGATAAATCAATTTTCCTACCAATCTCTGATATTGGACCTTCTCTATAAGAGCACTTTCTTCACTTCCAATTCTGTGATTCTGTTCTAAAGGAACTGTTGAGGTTCTACATCCCAACTTTCCTGTTTCTTTGAGGAGATCAAGTACATATTTCCTTTGGAAGATAAAAATTCCGTTCTTGGAGTAGGCAACCTCTATTCCAAGAAAATATTTGAGTTTTTCTAAGTCTTTCATTTCAAACTGAGCTGTCAATTTATCTTTTAATGCTAATTTTTCTTTTTCATCATCTCCTGCAATAATCATATCATCCCCATAGACAAGTAATAGAATGAGTTTACCTGTAGAAGAGTGCTTTATGAATAGAGTATGATCTCCTTGGCTTTGTCTGTATCCCTAGGAAACTGTTGCTTTTGTAAATCTTCCAAACCATGCTTTAGGGAATTGCTTAAGACCATACAATGCTCTCTATAGGAGGCATACCTTGTTTCTTTCATTTTTCACTTCAAAACCTGGGGGAATCTCCATGTAGACTTTCTCATCTAGATTTCCATGAAGAAAGGCATTCTTCACATCTAGCTAGTGTAAGTCCCATCCAAAATGGCCAGCCAAAGAGAGAATAACTCAAACTATATTCATCTTTGCCACTGGGGCAAATGTCTCCTCATAGTCAATCTCATATGTTTGGGTATATCCTTTTGCCACTAATCTAGCTTTATATCATTCTATTGTCCCATCTACCTTATGTTTCACTATGAATATCCATCTACACCCTACTACCTTCTTGACTCTTGGCTTATCAACAATCTCCCAAGTTGAATTTCTTTCTAATGCATTCATCTCTTCTTTCATGGCTTGATTCCAATGTTCAATTTTCATGGCCTCCTGGATTGAGGTAGGAATTTTTATGGCATCAATGGCAACAATAAAACTTTGGTGCTTATCAGAGAGATTGTTAATGCAAACATACTGAGAACTAGGATATTTAGCACATGATCTTTTTCCCTTTCTCAATGCAATGGATAAATCCTTAGTAATACTTACCTCCTCCTCATTGATATCTTCAGGGATCCTTACCTCCGAATTAGTTAATTTTTCTTGCTCGATAGTCAAAGTGGGTTGTTTTCTTCTTTCATATTTGTTCCCAAAAATTCCGTCTTCTTCCTCACTGTGGACTATGGTAGCTTCATTGCTCAGGTCTTGGGCATCCTACAAAGACAAACATGGTAATGACAAGGAGAGTTCATCCACTTCAAGTGCTTTCTACCCCTGAAGTGGTGGATTGACATAAAAGGATTGTGTTTCATTAAAGGTGACATCCATGGTGATAAAGACGCGACGACTCTGAGGATGATAATATTTGTACCCTTTTTTATTAGAAGGATACCCAATAAAGACAAATTTAAGAGCTTTGGGATCTAATTTACCACGGTTAGGATGATGAGAGTGAACAAAAAGAACACATCCAAAGACTCGACTAGGTAGACTCGTTATTAGGGAAGAAGAATGAACAAAAGACAATAGAGACTCTATAGGACTAATGCCATTTAAGATACGAGTGGGTAACTTGTTGATGAGATATGTGACAATTAACACAATTTCTCCCTAGTAATTTTTTGGAACAAACATTTGAAAAAGAAGAGCTCTAGTTACTTCAAGAAGATGACGATTCTTTCTTTCAGCAACCCTATTTTGTTGAGGGGTGTTAACACAAGTTAGTTCATGAACAATACCATTATGAGAAAAAAATAGAGAAATTCATGATTCACATATTCAGAACCATTATCAGACCTAATTCTTTTGATATTTTTTCCAAATTGATTTTGGACAAGACGGAAAAAATTAACAAAAATTTGAAAAACTTTAGATTTATTTTTCATAAGGTATGTCCATGTGACATGGGTACAATCATAAATAAAGGTAACAAACCATTTGGCTCCGAAAATAGAATCTATGATAGGACTCCAAATATCAGAGTGAATTAAATCAAATGGAGAAATACTCTTTTTATTACTAATAGGATAAGATGCACGATGGTGTTTTGACAATTGACAAATATCACAACTAAAAGACTCAACAAACTTTGTAAACAAATGGGGAAACAAAGACTTGATAAGACTAAATGAATGATGCCCAAGCCTTTGATGATGTAGCCATATTTGGGAATTTGCCCACGTCTCACATGTAGCTTGTTGACTCATAATTTATGTGTTGCTTTGGTCATCAAACTCTAAAAAATACAACCCACTTTGCTCCTTAGTAGTTAAAATCGTCTTCCCCGTGACAAGGTCCTAAAAAACACAATAAGTTGAAAAAAATGTTACTGAACAATTTAAATCCTTTTTGAGTTTTTTCACAGAGATAAAACTATTAGCTAATTGAGGAACATGTAAAACATCCTTCAATATAATAGATGAGTCCAAAATTATATTCCCAGAGCCGCATATAGGTATATCCTGACCATTCACAATTGTAATAAGTTGTGCTTTATTGCTTTTACCATATGAGTCGAAAGACCCACTAAAAGGTGTCATATGATCAGTTGCACCCGAATAAAGGATCCAAATACCTTGAGACACTTGACCAACAGTATTGAGAAAAATCTTACCTTTTATGGATAGAGTACATGATCCAGAGGGTTTACTCATTGATTCAACCATTGCTTCCAAGCGCTCGAGTTTCTCCTTCATATCAAGATCTGGTGATGGTGGTGGTGGTGGTGGATTAGCCTGAGAAATACTAAATTGATTGGTGGCTTCCTATTCTAAGGTGGTATGATTACCCATCTTTGAGTAGACCCTTTGTTGTTTCCCATGCGCTCGAGAACATTCTTTCTTCCATAGAGTTTGAAGCATGTTTCCTTGGTATGTCCAGATCTTTTACAGTATGAACAATAGTCCTCACGAGTACCTTTTTCAAACGTCTTTCCCCCAGCATTTGTTCCCTTCTGGACTTCCTTTCCAGTTGTCATGGCAGATCCTGTGTTGGAGATCCCTTCATTTAGCATGACAGTTCTCTGAGTTTCTTCTCCTCTTACCATAAAAAAAACTTTTGACAGGGATGGTAATTTTTCTCTTCCAAAAATCTGAACCCAGATTGGGTCGTACTCATGATTGAGGCCCTGGAGAAATTTAAAGATTCTTCCCCTTTCAATGAATTCAGCAAGAGTGGCGACATCTGCTTTACACATCTTTATTGTTTGGTTCTGATCGAATTCTATCCAAAGACCACTCAAGATTCCGTGATATCTGATACGAAAAGGGAGCCCTGTTTTGTATTAAATATCCTGTTCGCAATGTCATAGTAAGCAGTAAGATCCTTTTTTAAAGAAAAAATACTCTGTAAATCATCCCATATTTCTTTTGCAGAAGAATGAAACATATAATTTCTCCTCCATCTATGTGATCAAAATTTGACCATCCAACCGATCAGTACCTCCTATATTTGGTAGGTCATTAGGTACTCCCAAAGGAATCATTTTTACTTCAGACATCCCGTAGAACGAAACTAGGAGTCTCCGATGACCTTTTCCAAGACGACGACAGCGTGTGGGTCACACCGAGAAGAGGAGCAAAACCTTCAAACTCAGATCTGCTCAAATATAGGCCAAACGAGTGATCACCGACCCCAGGAACAGACTCAGGAGGTGTCGGCGACCCTGTCTGTGGCGGCGCGAGATGGCTCCTCTCACGGAGCGATTTTCGGCATTGTGATTGCCGGTGTTGGGGGCACCTTTCTTCCCTATCAACGACCCCAATCGGCGACGGCGGCAGCGGCAGTGGTCGGACAGCAGCGTTGAAGCGGAATGGAGCCCCAAGATTGGGAGCTCTTACACCAAGTTGAAAATAAGACTGATTTATTATTCTCAATCATGAAAAATACATTCTCATATCCGTATTTGTAATAATCTAATTCTCTTAAAAAAGGAAATAGGAAAACTAGAAAAACAAAATAAAATAAAAGATTATATATCTAATTCCTCTTATGATATTTTCTCTAATTACAACAAATAGTTTACATTGTTTTAACACTTTAATTGCCTTATTTTGTCAGATCTTCTATGCTCTTGTTGACCAGACACTTTTTGGAGAGCAGCCACTCCCTCATGGTGACATTAGTTCTGTTGTCGCCGAACTAAAAAGAGAGCACACCAATTATGGACATGTGGAAGGCACGCATTGGGAGACCCGATTCAGTCATCTGCTTAATTATGGTGCAGGTGTGTCCAAAGTCTTAATTTTCTTAAAATTCCTTGTATTAGTGATGTTTAGCATACTAAAATCTCAATAAACAGTCGTGTGAGAATGACAGAACTCGTTAGTTTTGAATTAGCAGGTGCCTGATTTCCTTTGGGTGAATTGTTTTTATTGTTGCACTTCGTATATTTTGAATAATTATCCAATGTTATATTTTTAAATAACCTGATACTCATGATGGTAGAAGTTACATTTATCCAATGGATGCCACCAAAAAGTGTTTGCCTTCAACTTGAATCTCTTCATTTATTGACATTTTGAAGTTTCGGTCGATACTTAATATATTTATTGGCAGGTTATTATAGCTATTTGTATGCTAAGTGTTTTGCTGCAACCATATGGAAAAAACTGTGCGAGGAGGATCCACTTTCATCAACTACAGGATTTGCTTTAAGAACAAAGTTCTTACAGCATGGAGGTGCCAGAGAACCAGATGCATTGTTGAATGATCTAATGGGAGATGGAATATACAGGTATCATGATGGAGGGATAGTGCCTGATATTTCATGTCTTTGTAATGAAATGAAGCTGGTTGAGGAATATCCTATGGAGGTCCATTTGTAGTGATTTTTAGGAAATAGGACTGAATCAACTAGCTAGTACTCAGCATATTTTCCTCAGCGACACAGCAAACAGTTGTACCATTCAAACTATGGTGTCAATTTTTTTTGGTGTCTCAATATCTTTATTTACACGACCCTATCATATGAAAAAAGTAAAGTGAGAGGATCCAGTTTTGACGTAAGGCACAATTTCAAGTGACAATTACATATGCACTTACATCTAAACACAGGTTGAACAGCAGACCTTTTTTATAATTAACGCTACTGTGTAGCTTTAACAGCTATCATAAACACATTAAGAGATAAGAAATGAATTAAAAGGGAATATGAAAGAAATTAACGGTAAAGAGTATATTGTCCTTATAAAATGTCTGCCATTGATTCTAAGCCTCACAAATATCCTAATATGATGTTACATGTTTCTTATGCTTCGTTGTTGAACTTGTTTGCTATGGTATTAGAGAACGTTGTAATCAGTGGCGGGAGAGTATTCTAAATTTTCTGAAGGTGTTATTTATTTTATTGAGTTGGTTTTGGTTTAGTCTTTCTATTCCTTTGTATTTATTTATTTTTTCTGTTTTTTTGTGCTGGTTTGACATAATGCATACTATAGAAATAACAAAGGATGTTAACCTTGTAGGAATCATTTGCTATACTGCGATGCTCAGCAAGTTTATCTTTTTTTAAACAAAAAGGGCCTCAAATAAATATATATTTTTTATTAGAATAGTCATATTTTTGAAATAAAGTATTCCCATTCTTACAATTCTCAAAATACAATTTCAGTATCAATAAGATCTCCGGTGTTATCTTATACAATTTCACTTCAATCAAGCCTTGCTTTGTGCTTGTTTATGGAACCATCAGGGTTGAATTTTGTTCTAAACATCTCATCCTAATGACATTTTTGTCATAAGGTTTCGGAACTAGTTCCTAGATTTTTCTCAGTCCAGTTACTAGATTTTTCTCAATAATCATAGACAACTCCTCTTGCATTGTTGCTAACCATTTTTCCTCCGTAGCTTCTTCAAAATTGGCTGGTTCACAAATATCTATATTACAGATTGTTTTTTTTATAGATATTAGAAAGTAATCTTGTTCCTCGGATCATCTCTAGTGTCTTCAACCTCCAATTCAGTGTTTCGATTTTTCTTTAAATCACTCTAACATCAGTTTTCATCTTCCATGAAGTACACATCTCTACTCATTAGAATTTTTCCAGTTTGAGGTTGAAAAATCCTATAAGCTTTAGAAATTGTGGGGCCAATAAATATTCCTACTTTAGCCCTTTTATCAAGCTTATCATGTTTAACTTGTGTTATATGTGAATAACACAAGAAACCAAATATTTTAGGAAAGTCCAAAATAGTTTTAAAACCAAACCAAGCTTGAAAAGGAGTTTGATTTTGCAAGACTCGTGTCGGAAGCCTATTTTGTATGAACATGACTATATTTGCAACTTTGGCCCAAAACTGCTTTGGTAATTCCTTTTGATGAAGCATGCTCCATGATTGCTCTATTTTTCCTTTCACTCACTTCATTTTGTTGAGGAGTGCAAGGAGCTGTTAATTGATACTCAATCCCAACGTCATCACAAAATTGTTGAAAATGATTTGCTATATACTCTTTTCCATTGTTTGACCTCAAGATCTGAATATAGCAATTGCTTTAATTTTTAACAAATGCTTTGAATTTCTAGAACACTACGACTACTTCTATTTTGTATTTAAGAAAGAAAATCCAACGCATTCTTGTTAGGTCATCAATAAAAATAATATAATGAAGACTTCTTTTAATTGATGGAATTCTTTGTGGTCCAACAACATTAGTGTGAACTACCTATAATATTTTACTAGCCTTCCAACTACTTTTAGGAAGTAGTTTCCTTGTTTGCTTCTCGAATCTATAAGCCTCACATTCAGTCGGTTTCTCTATCAAGGAAGGAACTCCATGAACTAATTGATTTTTTAGCATGTAGTTCATTCCTAAATTATGGAAATGACCCAACCCTTTTTGCCAAACATTAACTGAGCTTGTTGTTATTGGAAATGCAATTTGCTCCTCCTTCATTGGATTAAATGAGAAATTCTTGTTCTTCATCTTGACTTTAAACATTTCAAGGCCTGTTGGATCTTTAATTGTGTAGACTTTATCTTCAAAGATAACTTTGAACCTTTTTTCTATTAACTGTTTGACACTAAGAAAGTTTTGGTTAATTTTAGGTACATATAAGACATCAGAGAGGGTTTTTGTACCTATGTGAGTTGTTATAGCTATTGATCCCTTGCCTTTTACTAGAATTTGTTCATTGTTTCAAATTCTGCCCCATTTGACTTCAGTCATGTCCAAATACTTGAATGATTCTTTGTCACAGGTCATTGGTTTGTGCAGTTGTTATCAATCAACCAAGATTCATTTGAACTACTGCTAGAGAAACATGTAGCATCAATGATGCAAGCATGCCTAGGGTCGGAACTCACAAGTAGCAACTCCAAACAATAAGCAATGATGGTGCAGCGGAATGAATGAATATGAGTGATGTTTTTGTGTGTTTTTAATGGAAGGAGTGTGTGTGGAGACCTTACAACTCAGAAAGCCTTCCTACTATGGAAGGAAGCTAGAGGAAATGGTAGAGAAAGTGAAGAGAAAGAGTGACTCAAGAGTATATAGGGCTGGAATTAAATTCTGCAGCATTTCACTAAAGCTCAAAAGTAAAGAATTACAAAGGAGAGGCCCTCTTATTTATAGGTGAAGAGGGGCCTTAGTTCTGGCCTAATTTCCCTCCAAAAATCAAATACAAGTTGAGCTTGGGCGCCAAGTTAGCTGGGACACGCTTCCCACTCCAAGCACACAAGGAAAACATGTGAAATTTAAAAGTCTAATACGCAGTGGCTGGGCCAGGCAGGCTTTTGGCTGGGCATCTCTGTAATCCGAAAGTTATTTTCCTTTGCATTTCTAATCCGAAAGCAAAAATCTCCAATCCGAAAGTGACTTCTTTTTCTCCCTTTTTTAGCTCCTTTGCTTCCCTTGGCTTCCCATGCTTCTTGGGTGGCTCAACCATGATCTCCAAGCTTTATTAGACCCTACAAAACAACCATATATGTACTAAAAAGAATCCTTCTAAGACTTAGAGAAAGAAAATCAAGAAAGAGCTTGTAAAAGTCCTTCTCCATCTTCCATTTCTTAGCCTTAGCTTAAGTTGGTACTCCTTTGAATGGAATGCCCTAAATTGGTTTCGATCAAGCAAAGAGTTGGTCTTCATTTTCTTGCGCGTTTTGTGCAACACCTTAAGCTTGTTGGACATTTGCTTTGCAAATTACAGTTTCATTACCAATCCAATTGCATTTACTACACTTTGCATCCTGTCTTTTCCAGCAGTGAAATGGTGATGACCTATTTTTCCACAATGTTGACAAGGTGAATAATTTGTCTTTTTACCCACCCTTACCTTGTTTTTTATTAAATACACCATTTTGACTGCTTGCTAGTTGGAACCTTTTGAAACTTTCTTTTTATTGGTTCCAATATCCCGATACTTGATAGGGAATACACCTTCAACCACACGATCTTCTCTCATTAGCCTTCGTTGTTCTTAGGCTTACAAAGCGTGTAACACCTATGCCAAAGTAATATTAGATAGATTTTGTGTTCTCCAATGAGGTAATAGACGCTTCTTACCTTTCTGGCCTTGTCACAACGATTTTCTCGACAATTCTGGAGTCCGCAAAACTGCTACCCAACAACTTTATTTTGTTGGAAATGCCCAATAACTTTTTGAATACTCCTTGATTGTCTCTGACTCTTTGATCTTTTGCAACTCAAATTCCCTCCTTAGGTTCAACACTTGCATGCTTCTTACTTTGTCATCTCCTTCATATTCTTCCTTCAGAAAATTTCAATTTTTTTTGGGTGATTTAAGAGTTATAATTCTAGTGAAGATCAATGTTGTAACACCAACAATTAATGACGTCTTTGCCTTTGCCTTCTTTGTTTTTCGTTCCTTATGACTTTTGATTTGGGCCATGGTAGGATTCTCTGGCAGCGGCTGAACAGAGTAATCATCTTCCATAGCTTCCCATAAATCTAGTAGTCCCTCTAGATAAGATTGCATTTTTACAGCCCACATATCATAGTCTTCCCCATTAAACATCGGAAGTGCTATTGGAAACGAAGTTGACTCTCCTTCCATTCTATTGGTCCCTTGAGAGTCAAGGGCTCTAAATACCAATTGTTGGTTTAGAGAATAAAAACAGATGAATATATTGGTTGGAAGTGTTGTTTTCTTATTAAATGCAACTTAATTTAAATACATTCATAAATAACTAACTAAAAGATCATGTCTTGTGATTCTAGTAATCATACTAATGATTTAGCTGAAAAATAAGAAATAAATAATTCACTAAATCCATTGAGTAATTTAAACTGAAAACAAATTTGAAATCTTTCTAAAATCATGTAACTAACAAGACAATTCTCAACCGTTTATGCTTCGTTGTTTAACTTGCTTGTTATGATATTAGAGAACGTTGTAATCAGCACTAGTACAAAAATCGTGTATAATGTCACGCGTTCAACATCCCATAACAGAACAACCAACATTAACAATGACCGGTGGAATTGTTGTAAATAAATTCAATCACTCTACGTCGTTTTGGAATCCAACTCGACGTCTAAAATGAATTAATGTCGACCATAATATAAATTGGACGTTTTATATGCCAGCCAACAGTTATTTTTTTATTTTTTCTTTTAAATCAACAAAGAAAATGTCGCATTGATCACGGCTTCGACGTTTTATTGACTAGCCAAAAGCCAAAGAGTCAATCCTTTTTTTATTATATTTTTCTTTTTTCTTTTAAACCAACCACAAAACGTCGAATTCTTTGGGGGGCTTCGACATTTTATATGCTAGCCAACAATTAATTTTTTTTCTTTTATCAACCAAGTAAACGTCACATTTTATTGACCAGCCAGAAGCCAAAGGGTTAATCCTTTTTTATTATATTTTTCTTTTTCTTTTAAACCAACCACAAAATGTCTAATCCTTTGGGGGCTTCGACGTTTTATTTGCCAGCAATTATTCTTTTTTATTTTTTCTTTTAAACCAATCAATAAAACCTCCATTTTCTATAAATACAGTTTCGGAGCGTTGGATAACCTTTACACCTCCATTTATGAAATTTCTCATAACAACTCCTTCAAGGTTTTTCTGTGTTAACTTTTTTCTGTGTTTCTAATAGCTCCTTCAAGGTC